TGCTTCATCCTCTAATTAATTATTTATTATTATTTTTATTAATTACAAACATAAAATTTAAGCGATTTTTTTAATGTAATATAATTTTATTTTTTTGAATATGTATCTGTTTGTTTTATTTCTCTTCTCTTTTTTTATAATATACCTGTAGTTTTGTTCTTCTTATTTTTTTTCATTATATATTTCAAATATATGCATGTGTATATAATGGAACAACATTTAATATTGATTTGTAGCTTAGTTTTGTGTTTCGGTTTCCTTCTTAGTTTTTATTCGTATACATTGAGTTAGGATTTGATTTTTTTTTTTTTAAATGAATACAGTTATTCAAAATTAAAGGGAAAACAAACGGAAAATAATTCGATTTCAAACAAAACATATGGAATTATATTTGACTTTTTGACGATATGGCAAAATAGACTTCAAAAAAATAAATTATTGAAAAAAAAAAAAAAAATATTTTAATGTATTTCGAATTTTAAACACAATTGTTAAAAGTACCGATTTCTTTAAGTTTAAAAAATGAATCTAAATATCCTTCTGCACCTTAAGTAACTAGGAACTTATTTAAATTCTGGCACACATTTATATTTGAATCATAGTACAATAAAGACAACGTAGAATAAGTTAGAGTAAGTTGGGAGTAATGAAACCTATCCATATGGATTTTAAGGTCAGAATAACTATTACAATAAATACAAACAATTTGTATTTTACCAAACAAAAAATAGGAACAATTGAATGAAAGATCAAGATTTCTTTTCAAAATCATGTTCTATATCTCTAAAGATTTATTTCTTCACAATAAAGGAAATCGTTACAAGGATTTGATTGTAATTGAATTTTCTAAACCATATTTATATAATTGTTGAGACATGTCAAGCCAATCAAATAAAAAAAATTAAAATCGATTGTTAGCTGTGTCCTACCTTGATTTCATTGTACCATGATAGAAATATTGATTTTAATTTAAATCAAATAATTATCTGTTGGACTCCATCAAATCTAGCACTTCTAAAACTCTTGAATTATACTGTATACATATCCTAAGTCAAAGGATACGGCCTGTACCTGATCGAAATAGCGCTTTAAGAACATATGTCTCTTTGGATGAAATCTAGCTCACGGTACACACGATATTTTTCTTATACGAAGTATTCCGCCAACATTTTTAGTTCTTAGTTTTTTATGAAAGGTAAAAGGTAACTACCTTTTGGTAATTCACACACAAAAGGTCAAAGCTTTGAAAAAATAAAATATTTTATAGAAATCTAAGGGATTGTTCAATTTAGACCGTGTGCTGAACATTGTTATATTTGTATCTTAGACACTTAGAAATGAAAGAAAATTAACAATTTCTGTCCATTTCTTCTATGACCTATTTCACAAAGGGCCAACATTTAGTAATCATCATAAATCTCTTAAAATGCGAAATATTTTTCAATTTTCTTAAAACTCTGTAAATTCTTCTATTTTTATAGTGTTTACATCTAGCGTCAGGGTGGGATATGTATATTCACTCTTTGAAGTAATTCCCATACAATCCTAAACATTTACAATATCGACCCACATCCTTTTATCGAACAATCATAACTTTCATAGGCAAACTTCATTTAAATATTAATATTATTAAATATTTCTAACATTATATTTAGGATCCGCCCTTTTACTGATATACCTACACAAAACAAATAAGCAAAGGCTACAGTGCAACGTAGTATGTAATACGGGTATGTAATACCCGTAGTTTCTGTAGATCTGAAACCCTTTGGATTAGAAAGAACGAATCCCCCAAGATATTGGGATATATAATTGGACCACTTAGCAAAGACAAATTCCGTGGCAATGATTTACAACAATAGGCCCCTATTCTGAACCTTTTTTAAATTATACTCCGATACGTCACAATAAGTCGGTGAATATTCTGATTAAATTCTAAGATAGACTAAAATTTGTGTGTTATCTACTCGCAGTAAACTCGATTTGGATAACAGTTGAAAATATTGAAGTTGCAAAAAAAATCAGTAATTTATTAAAAAGTGAGATTGATAATCGATTCTGAAACTCTTCAAGAAATATTGGCGTTTCATTCTGTATTAATATATTATAATTGTACCCTACAACACTATGTGTTGGGTGTTGTAAGTTTGATTGGGCCAAAAATTATGTAACGCCTCGAAATAATGGTTTCCGGCATAGGATCTATATGCGGATCTTCCTATCACGCGAGCTGAGTCGATCTAGCTATGTAAGTCTGTCCGTCTTTCCATGCTAATTTGTAATGACTCTACAGGTCGCAATTGTGGCCCGATCCTGACGAAATTGAAAATGGAGATGGGGTTAGGGTTATATTTAGGGATTGAATGGTTTTGGCAGTAGCTCTATAGGCCATAATTATGAACCAATCGACGCGGAAATTTGCATGGAGTTAGAGTGTAGGGCTGGTCAGAATAAACGTACAATATTTAGCAGGTAAAATAAGCCATAATTTCTAAGTAAAAAAATACGAAAATTTCCACTAAACCTCAAAAATTTTCAATCCTGGCCAAATCACAAATACATCAAAAGGTTATTTCTGACCATTATAGTAATGCTAATAGTCATGATATCAGATATGTAGCAAAATAGGTACAACATATATGTAAAAGAAATAGATCCTAGTTATTCTGCTTATAAGTCAAGAAGCGCTGGAAGGATTTTCACAATTCTCATCAAGTCGTAATGGTCTCCGGCAAAGAAAGAAATTCCCGCAAAAATATGACAAATTCTAACGTGTGGAATAAATTCCATTTTTTAAATGAATGTAGTTAAATGTTTCTTTTTCAATCAAACAGAAATATGAGTTTTATTATTAATTATATAAACAAAGGAAATGAAAGAAAAAAGTTTTTTTTTTTTTTCAGAAACAAATCATTGTAACTTAAGTATCAATAAAATTTGTCTAACAATTTATAATACAATAACAATATAGACTGTGTGTGTGTGTGTATGTCTGTTGGGAGTTTCTGTGTATTGTGTACATTATAAACTAATTCTTACTTACTAATAGACTTTCAGTTTTTATTTTTCATTTCTTTAAAAGCATGAAAAATATTTATATTTTATTTCTCCTTTTTTTTTGTCCTAAAACGTATAACTAGATAATTTCTTAGTTATATGCTTAAATTAAATTGTAATAGTATAGTTTAAAAGAAACAATTAGGAAATAAAAGTGTTTTTTAAATTTTTATTTATAAATTAACTTAAGATTTAAATAATGATTCGTTACTGTGAAACTATACATAATTTATTTTTAAAAAATTTGTTTTTCAATTCATTGTGTATTAGGATGTGTATTGACTGTGTGTGATTAATAACTTGTTGCCTTTAAGGCCCGCACAAAATTGTTGAAGATTTATGAAATAACCAATACAATTTTGGACCCATTTGGGTCCACCCTTGATGTGTTTTTTATCAATTATAATTCTTTTGTCTTGAGAAAGTTTCCCACCCAACGAACCAATACGAAATTACAAATGAATGCTAAAGCATTACACACAGAAACTTCGGGAAAAATGTGAATTCATTTGTAAGAAGTGATGTGGATGTGAAACAGTGTCATTTGCTCATCCATCACCCAAAGACAATCTTTCTGTCCTGAATATTTTAATGTGAGAATTCCTGATTGGAGAATTGTATATCATCTGGAATAGTGGTATTTAAAATGAATGTTTGGACGGCATATACATTTGTAATCATTTTTCAAAAATTTTCAACGGGTTCCTTCACATACCCAATAAAATAGTTCACTAAATTTAAAATATTGTTTGTGGTATATATGGAAAATGTTTTATTAATTGTATTTTTTATTTCTCTAATGTCTTCCCTTTAAATTAAATAAACCTATAATTTGTTATAAGGCTAACCTATCTGACCATAGTTATATGCAATGCCTTGCAAAATTTTAAATTCTTTTTAAAAGTAAATCCCATAACACAGTACTTTAATCCAGCCTATTATCAGATCCATTTGACACGAGGGATATTGAATAAATATGGCCAGTATCTGTGTGATTTCTTTTGAAAGAAAAATGCTCCAAATAAATGTAAAGGTAATGTTTAGTTTTTTTATCTTTTGTGTGTATTTCTTAAAGAAAATTTACAAACTAATAGTAGATTTCTTCACGTTCATGGTTTTTGTTGTGTTTTCTTGTTAATTAACATTTAAAACTTAACAAATAACTTAAATAAACAAGTTGTAATATTTTATTGAGTTGAAACAAAGTCATTATTATGAAGTCATTATGCAAGTAGGATTGGGTGATGAACATTTGAAATTTTTAAACAATAATATTTAAATGTCTTCAATATCTATACTTCAATAATAAATAAAACTAAACATACAAAATTATAAAAATTTCCGAACGCTGCCATAAAAAAAGAATTATTTTCTTTTCTATTAAAAGTTGTGGGTATTTAGAGTCGACCATTAGGTGAGCCAATGGAAATGAAAAATGCTAATCATCACCTCCAAAGCAATGGACATTTTTCCGCACACGAAAAAAATCCTTGGAAATAACAAATTCGATTTATGTTTCGTAAGCAAGCGATTCAAAACATTACTGTATTGGAGTTGTTATTCTCAAACTAATAATATTTTAGTTAGTTATTTCCATTTTTTTAATACAACTTATTAATTTAAAAAAAAAAAACTACCCCATGAGCGGGAATTAGTCTCTTAAAAGTATCCAACCTTCAAACATCCTCAACCCATTTCTACTTGCATAGCACATGTCCACCTCATTACTGTTGCTTTATTTTGTTTAGAACTATTTATTTTTGATTAATGATTTTTGCTTGTTTCTATGTGCTTGTTGCGTGTGTTTCCTGATTCATTTCTTTTCTTGTTTGTAAAAAATTACAATTGTTCAAAATTTGTTTAACAAACATAGGTGTGATTTGTCCTCTTAACTTTAAATAAAAGACTTGTTTTCAAAATAAGAAATTTTACTAAAAAGTACGTATATTTAAAAATTAAAACAACTTTATTACCTATACAAGACAATTAGTTCAGGGATGTGGTTTTCTTTAGTTTTGTTTTGTAAATTATTGATTACTTATAGTGTTCTACTAATTTGTATTTGATAGGATTCATTGTGTAGACTTGTTGTTTGTAGTTTTATTTCATTCAGTTTATTTTCACTACAAATTATGATGCTTAGAGGAGATGGTTTGGTTGCTACCGTTTCTTATAGCCAGTCAACAGCAAGGAGGAATTGAAGGAGTAGGAGCAGCAAGCGGTAACTCTGAAACTGTCAAAAATGAAGACTATTGGAGCAAGGATGTTTGTTGTACAGTATTATCGTTTCGGCTTCTTAGTTTTGTTTAACAATAACTAGTTTCTTCTTTAGTTTTTCTTAATTTACATTCATGTTCGTTCTTGGATGTTTATTTTTTCGGGTTTCCCTTTTTTGAAAAGAAATACTTTTTTTCAGCTTCTTCTTGTGTGGTATTAAATAACAACAACTAACAACAATAATGATATTTTTTCTGGTTTTGTGACAACAATATAACATAATAATACACGACCTTTCGATACTGCATATTTTTGCAATAAATTGGATTTACATTTATCGTAAATTGTATCTCTGTTTGGGCTATATTTATTTGGAAGAGTCCATAACAAAATTGCCGTTGATTTCTACCCATTTGTCATCTTCGTTGAGCACATATTCCAGTAGTGTCTCATAGTCGGGGACTCATCCTTCATTTGCCGTATTGGCATGTCTCGTTGTATTATTGGCATTGTTGTTGTTACTGTTGTTGTTACTATTACTATTGTATTCTGTGGAGTGGGGTGATGGTTCCATTTTAATAACACCCAAGTGGGGGGTTTGTATTCGCAATTGATGTTGCAAAAACGCACCACCGCCACCAGGTGCTGGATGTATGCGTCCGACGACCACACCACCCATAGTTACAAAATCACCATTGGCTGTTAAATGGCCACCCACTAATTGAGCGGCATTTATGGAACTTAATTCGAGTGTTTGAGCTGCTGTTGCAATATTGGAAAACGCTTCAAGATTGGACGGTGCTGCAGCTATTGTTGCTGTCGCAGCAGCGTTGGCAGCCGAAGAGCCACCATTGGCTGCATGTGTCGCTATTATGGTTGTGTTGTTGTTTTGCAATTGTTGTTGGTGTTGTGCTAAGGTAGAGGTAATAATTTGACGTGTGTGTTGCTGTTGTTGTTGATGCTGTTGCTGGTGTTGTTGCTGTTGTTGAGCGAGTGCTTGCTGCTGTTGTTGTTGCTGATGATGTTGTTGTTGTTGAAGCCCATTGGATGTAGCTTCAGTAGCAACCACCATCATATCCTCTAGTCATCCCTCCTCTTCCTCGGTTTTAATCTTGACGGGAACATAGACTTTGTCCATTACATGGATTTTTATATGGTTATTAAGAGTACTAGATTGACGGAATTGTTTTTTACAAACGGCACATTCAAAAGGTTTTTCACCTGCAAGGAAGCGAATAGAAAATACAGATTAGACAATTTCAAACAAGAGCTAGTGGAAAGGCTTTAAATTAAAATAAAAATTAAATTAAAAACTAATATGATATATATGTAATATAAAATCCTGTTCAAATTAATATTTAATAAAAACATGAGAATAAATTGCAATTTTATTAGGGCATTCTCTCATTTTTAAAATGTACTATAAAGCACCAGAGATGAATGATATGCCTGGATTATCTTTTAAAAATATTATCCAAAATGTTCAATATTTTATTGCCACGGTCAATATCCTTTATTCGCGCCACGCAATGTACTTTTCTTCTAATAACTGATTTTAAAAAGGGTTTGTTTTATTTTAAAAACAAATACAAACACAAGATTGGCAGAAGTCGTGCTCACTCAGAAAAAATACTTGAGTACTTCAGACAGTATTCGAATTAAAAATAGTGAAAGGCAAATACATTCCCTGTTATCTACTTAAAATTAACATCGGGTTTAAATTCAGAAGAATGAACAATTTAACTAACCTGTATGAATTTTCAAATGATTTGTTAGCGTACTCAATTGACGAAAATGTTTCGGGCAATAGGTACAATTAAACGGTTTCTCTCCGGTATGTATTTTCAAATGGTTTGTTAGTGTGGACGATTGACGAAATGTTTTATCACAAACATTGCATTTGTACGGTTTTTCTCCAGTGTGAATTTTCACATGATTGGTTAGTGTGCTCAGTTGCCGGAATCGCCGTTCGCAGACATTACACTGAAATGGCTTTTCCGGTGCCGGACCTCCAGCCGATACGGGCGTTGAACTGCCATTGTGGCCGTTGGTCAAGACGGTAGCATCGCGGGCAATAAAATGTTGTTCCGATAGTGCAGGACTGTGTGCAGCGGTGGCCACCAAATGAGCCAATGGATGTTGCTGCAGTATGGCATGATGGTGGGCCAAAGCACTGCCAGGTGCAGGTCCATTCCCACCGTTTTGATGTTCAGCTGCCGCAGCTTGAGCGGCTGCGGCCTGGGCCGCTGCCATGGCTGCTGCTTGGGCGGCCGCGTGTGCCTCAGCACTTACTCCTGCCAAATGCATAAATGGTATTGGAATTTCCGTTGGTGCAGCAGTCGTTGGACCCTGCTGATGATGATTGTTGTTGTGGGCACCGCCTCCACCACCGCCGGTTCCACTGCCGCCTCCGCTACCATTGCTGGATGTTCCATTTGTACTTTCATTGTTATTGTTATTATTGTTGTTGTTATTATTATGATTAGGCGACGATGATACAATTACAATTTCACAGTTTGGCATTGCCGCTGCCGCTGCTGCAGCAGCATGAGCATGTTGCAGACTTTTTATATGCATTCTAGGAATGCTGCGTTGTCTTTCTTCTCTTGCAGAAAAGTGTACAAAGAAGTATTACCTAATTACCAAAAAATTATTGAATAACTTTATGGTTGGTTGGTTGGTAAGTTGTTTTGTTGGTCTTCTAAAAATTACAGCTATCTGTTTCCGGTTTTGTGACTCGACCTATTCACTTTAGAAGCTCATAGGCCTGGTCGTTCATTTAGAAGTTAAGTGATGGATGCAGCTATCAGTTAATTGTTGGATTATTCTCTCCGTTTCACAGATTTTAGATATCAATTATCACGTTTTTCGGAAAATTTTGCCATCAATGTTGTTGTTTGTAGGACGGAGTTCATCAGTCCTGGCAACACTAGCAAATTGTATAGGAAAATGTCACCTGCAAATGAAAAGGAAATGGAAAATATATGATTATTTGTGTGAAAAAAGAACACTATATTTATTAATATACTAACTAAAAATCCGTTTTAGCTGATACACATTTTTGTAATAGATATATTAACAAAACTATTCTTGTCATATCTATATATTTAAATTATTACAAAAGATATGGTGACATAACATATTTGTCTACTACGAACGCCATCTATTGAATCAAAGTAACAATCAATTGTCCAATATAATAAGAATTATGTCATTTTCAGCTCTGATCAAATGTTCACAAAAGGTAATCATAACTTTATACCTTCATCATATTTATAAGACTTTAGGGAGTACAAACCAACCCACAAGTATTCTCTCTTTTGTTTTCATCTGCCGTAGTTTAGTATGAGAAACAGTCCCCAACCACTAGATACCTACTACTGAAAACAAGATTTTGGACATCACTGCTTTAGAGTTCCAAAGAATGACATGATTGTAGGCTGGTGCCATTGTACCGAAAAAAAATTGTATCTGATAACTCTACTCAGAAAAAATGAATGTGCAGACACTTATATCCCTATTGATTAGAATATTATAACCTTTTTACCAGAAAAAAGTACTTATCATTTGTCAAGGCTGTCACAGTTGTAACTACGTCCAGCTCATATAACTAGGTCCAGCCCATATAAGCCGAAATATGATCCTTACAATCTTCCATGAATTATATTATTCCATGAATTATTTATACTTTTATATGTACGATCAGTTGTATGATTATTTGGCAATGTTCACCGTGGATAAATTTGTATAATTTGGCCAAATCTTAGAAAATCCGGCGATATAAGCCAATTTCATACTTTCCAAAGCCGTGGCACATGATTAAACAGGACTACATCACACAGATCAGCCACATTGCTTACATTTATTGCTTGAGAGAACGAGGACGATTTAAATGCTAGTTTCTTTACATTTAAAAGAGTTTTTGATTCTTATATCAAAAGCAATTCAGGGATTGTTTTGAGGACGAATAGTTTTTCCTTTTTTGTTTTTATATTTCGCGCGACACAGAAAAATACCAAGAAAATACTTGTATGGTAGTCACTACTACACTAAAATACAACCATGCATTGTAAGAAAACACGTTTTTGTTGTTGCTCTCCCATAGATTTGATCGATCATAATTTCTCCCGCTCTTTTTCTCTTCGAATTTTGACACTTCGGTAAGTTACTCTACGTTTTTTTTTGTTCTCTTTGCTCTCACACAAATCACATTGGAAATTTATGCAAAGTCTTGAAAGAAATTTCTTTTAGAAATTTTTTGAAAAACCCATAATCAATAACAAACGTAGACGATATTAGGACGAATAGCACCTGTCGCTGTGCATATTTGTGTTTTATTTTTTATTTCCACTGTTTTCAAGCACAAACTTTGAGAGGTTAGAGAATTTCAAGGCAAAATCATGCAAGGAAAAAATATCAGCTGGCGCGACCATGTGTCTGGTTATAGCTGTTCGAGAAATTAGGCGATTAACGCGGTCTTTTTTATTAAGACGGTTGGTAAAAAGCGAGGGAACACATAGCCGGTTATGTTAGCAAATTGTTTTTGGTTTTAAAATGGAAAACACTGTCGTATACCTTAATGTAGAACACACTAATGGTGAATTGTAAGTTTTAAGATTTTCCGATTATGCCAACGTGTTTTGTTTTCTTTTTTCTTGTTACAGAGCCACTGCCACCAACCAAAGTTGAATTGTTTGTGCGCGAAGACTATGAAAAATAACTTTCACCTCCCTTTAGCCCCCTCTCAAAAACGACAAACACATTACTACCTCCTCCGCCGCTCCACACACCTTCATCTTTACCTCTTACCCAACGACATTCAATGTCTCTCTCACACCCCACAGCACTAACCAACCAACCACTTGACAAGTTTAACACGAGCCGATCGGATCGAGTTGGGCCGTGTTGATTTTTCGAAATGACTTTTTCGCTTCTTACGTGCGTTACATGTGTTCGCTCGCTCGTTAATTTACGTATGTATATTTTTGTCAAAAAGAGGAACAGATTGTCAATACACAGATTACACAGAGGAAAGCGAGCAACTTGCAGGCTGCCTTAAAATGAATGGACGGAACGACTGGCAGACTGTTGCCTGCCAGCTAAAATAATGGCCACAATTTAAGCAGTCCATCCAGCCAGCCATCCATCCTAAACTATGTCGTGTGTCTTTTTCTCTTATAACACGGCGAAAGTTTCTCTATTGAGCTCAGGGTCTGGGTGGCGAATAAATGATATTGGCAGATTTGGGATAAGCATTCGTGGAATGTTCTGTAAATGCAGTTTAAAGCACACTTTACTTGAATTGAATTTTCATTGAAGAAAACATGAATTTCCACTTTTTCGTCTCTCGCTTGTTATCTTCGCCTTTGAGTAGACGACTGACTTTGGTGCCTCTTATTTAACGGCACGGCACAGCAGCACAGACACCACACCGACACCATCGCACAATGCTTGTTTTGTTAGCAGCCAGCAGTCTCACTCAGTCTCTTCCGTGTTTTGTGAACCAGTTCATTTGTTCTGTTGATTATTTCCACAACACAAACATTGTTGTTTTTTTGAGGTTAGACCTTTTCATATTTCTATATGCGGATTTCAGACACGATATTTTGCGTTTGATTTGTCGCGGATTTCAATGAACACTTCTCATTTCGATTAATGGTCGGTCTACGAACATTACAACGATTACGTCTATAGAGTTGTCACGTCACACCCGTGCAAATATTTTCACTTTTTCTTTTCTTGAAAGCACACGCACGCACAAACGACACACCATAGCAGCAGCAGCTCAGTGCTCACTCGATTTTTCACTTATTGCCCGTTTCAACTTTGACCTACCTTACCTCTGTCTGCCTGCCAGTTGGCTTCGTTCGTTTTTTTGTGTAATGTGGCGAGGCAGTTCCACCAGTTTTCCTTCCCTGTTTTGAATGTGTAGTTGAATTGAGGCGAAAACCTTTCGAAACTCGTTATGAATCAAAGGAATTTCGGTGTGTGCTTTCCTAAATTTCAATGCATTTTTTCAGGCAATTGGTTCTTCATTCAAACACCTTTATTCCCGTCGTCGTCGTCAACGTTTCTCTTTTCACATTCCTTTCTCTTTCCTTGCAGTGTGCAGCAACGCAATCCTTTCAACGTTCAAAGCTTTGCTTTTATGGTTTCCAATCAGTCACCTTTTTCAGAAATGTTTCAATGTTAACATAAAAACTTAATTGTATATCAAAAGTATTGTTTTGATTTAAACTAAACTTCTTTTAAATTGTTGAGGTCGGTCGGTTAGGAAAAAAGTGTATTTGCTTTTTTCTTGATGTTACAATTCAGTTCAGACCCGTTTTGACAGTTCAGCGGTAGCTGTGTTCAATATGTCTGTTGTGATGTAAAAAATAGTAGTGTAAGATGAAGGGAGGGTACCTATTTCAGAGTGATTGAATGTGAGTTGGAATTATCAATTCACATTGGCTGCTCAATTTAATGCTAGGGAGATTCGCATTTTCAAAATTATCAATTGAGTGCTTGCTTCATCTTTGACCGCGTTACTTAAAATTCAACGAAGCGTTAACGTACAAATATGCAACTTTCGTACTACGGTAAAATGTTTGTACATCCGTAATACCCAAATATGCCAGGTCCACATCTTAAAATCTACCTAATGATGACGCTTTAAGAATTGATGAATGTAAAAGTTTTTACTACGATAACCGATTCTCCCTCAATGACACCGGAGAAAATTGCAAAACTAGTAGAATCTCGCAGGTTCAGGAACAGACCAACTAACTTTTTTTGTTTTGGAGCGTTACCTAAAATTCGACGTAGCGTACACAAATATTCAACTTCCTCACTATTGAAAAATATTTTTTACGTCCGTATAAGGAAATAAAATAGTTTTTTCTCATTTGCTCTAACTCATTTTTTGTTGAGTTACCAAAAAATATCTATAAAATTAAAACTCAAAATTATGTATAAAAAATTTAAATCAAAGTTTGACGGCACTGTTGCCATGGATAGGATTCTGCGAATTCTTTATTTTGGTCGCTGACTTTAAGGCCCTATCAGTTGTAATGTTATTTACATATGTAATGTCAAATTTCCACATGTAGAAATTGCACATATCGTGTGAAGCATAGACGACACTTCAGTTGTGGAATACATAAAACATAAAAATATAAAACTCAATTAAAAGTGTTGTTTTTTTTTGTTGTGTAAAAATTTAAAAAAAAATAAATTATCGGTGACAATTTATCATGTGTTAGTTATATATTTCTTTAAAATACAACATCTAGTGTGATATACACATGGAAAATAAAAGTGACAGCACATATGTAAAACCCATGGTAGAATTAAGAAGGAAAATGCAATCATATGTCTACAAACTTTTCAAACTTATTCATTTGACAACATCTTATTGTCAACTTTTATATTTAGAAATCCGTGGTATGCACACAATTGAGAGATAGGAACCAGTTACATATGCCTTGTAGTTTGGAAGTTAATTGACAGAAAATGCAGAACTGGGAATGCTTATTTGAAATGACTTTACCTTCTTACTTTTACCGTGGTAAAACCCATTTCGTCTGATCATATTTTTGATATAAAATCCAGGCACTTCAATCATCTTTTGCTTTATTTAAGTCATTTCAAAAATGAGGAAAAAATGTGAAATAAATGCAAACAACTTGTTGATATAATTTTGAATAATTCTGACAGGAAGTGGGCATAGCTTCAGAGCTGTATTTCTGTAGTTTTACGAAGCTGTTCTACCTCTTTGTTGTACCATGCTTAAAACACTTTGTTTAAACCTTCAATTCTCAAAATTTAGCAATTTATTTAATTCAAGAATACTATGAGCGATTTTATTTACAAAAGAAGGTATAAGTAAGAATATACGGCCACACTCTGGATCATGGTAAAATTAAGAAGGTTAAGTCAAATTTCAAATAAGCATTCCCATCTTTACATATTCAGTAATTAACCTTGTAAAATTTCAATGCAGAAAGCAGGTTGCCATCTCTGACTTGTGTATGTACAATGGATTTATAACAATTCATTTTGACAATGAGATGTTGTCAAAGAACAATTTTAAAAAATTGGACCATATGATTGCGTGACATCATATTTTTAATTCTACCATGCTCTGGGTCTCGATTCTTGTTCTATGAAAATGTGAAATGAAAACTTTTACAGAGGAAAGAAATGTCAAATGAAAAATATTATGAAGGAAATATTTTTCATTTCATATATTCATAGAACAAGAATTCATCCCAAAAGAAATGTTAAAAAAAAGAGTAGAGTAATTTTTTAAATTAAAAATGTTGATAACTGTGTACTTTTTCCACAAATGTGTAATATTTTTATCCTACGCGTGTAATATGAAGTTTCTGTCAACCTGCCATGGCAGAAGAATACAGGTAGATGCATCAACGCTTGGGAGCATTGATATGTCAAAAAATTTAAATGTTTTTTTCAAATATAAGTAGATCTTTATATGTTTTCTTATACTACGTCATTCGGAGGCTATTATAATTCGCGTTTTTCAACAATTTTTACAAATTTAAATAATTTTTCATTCAACATTTTCAATTCCAAAATTGGTTTGACAGTTCATTGTACCAACAGCTGTGTCGATGCGTCTACCTATTACTTCTACCATGCAACCTGCCTATTCCATTATAAAAAAATATCTGACATCTTTCTTCATTCGCAAGTCTCCCTCTCTCAATGTTATATTTCTCCAAAAAGATAAAAAGATATCAAATAAGAAAGCATTACAGAGAAAGAAGAAGCAAATTATTGTTTACAACCGAACAGCTGTTCCGGCATGTTGCCTTTTCCATTTGTACGTATTCGTTGTGTTGCCTCTTCCCTCTATTCGTTGTTGCAAATCGGAGTATGGTAACCCTGTTTGTTTGTTTCTTGTTTTGTTTTGCCCGGTGGAAAGATTGATTTTTGTGTTTTCTACATATTTATTAAATTTTTATATAGCATCGCGTAAAAATAATCCATCAAAAGTGAAGTGAAACCATTGAGAAATAAGATTATTCAATTTAAGTTCGAACTACCCGGGAAAAACTTACAGGTAAATGGATTTATTTATCAACTTGCCCTCGTGTTTGGTTTGCGACCTTTGCAAAATTTTTATTAATGTTCTCTGATTTATAAATAAACAAATGCAACATATTTGGTATTACTCTTTGAACTAGAAAATAACATAATTATAATATTGTGCAAACTTTTGAGCCATTCTCGGGCCGAGCATTCACAGGCTGTAGGGCCAATTCATCTTCCACGGAATATCTGGGTGGTTGATCTGAAAGGAAAACAATAAACAACAGGTAAATGGATTGTATTGAGAATATGAGAAGAGGTGATTCCAAGTTAACATTACGTCCTATGAAACTGTCTAATTTTGGGTTGTAGCAGCCAACAGATATTGCCAAAGATGGAAGTAACATTCCTTGACCGAGCAGAACTCAGTTTGTACCATATAAAGGATCTGTGTGGTGATATTTTATGTTTCCCAACACTATTTGATTTGATTTGTTTTAAAGTTTGTTATAACACCAATATAATGCTACATGCTCTGGAACCGAAAAGGGCATTAGCACAAATTGTAGCATTTTGGAATGGTAAGAGGGTCAGCTATAAGTTGACATCAATTTTCCTAATTCCCATAATGGCCCTTTTTCGAATTTTCGAGGGTTTTATAAAAATGTGGGGTTCACAAAATCGATAATTCAACCATGTAACCACTTGTTGGATAGATATTTTCATACAATACCTAAACGATACCCATATTGTCTATATCAGGTAAGTGGATTCGGGTCTTGGATCTGGACTTTCGGTTCAAAAATCTGGTGTCCCAGGCCCGTCCACCAAGTAAAAAGATGTCGTCGTTTTTGCAGTCTATCGTATTTATATATCAGTCACCCAAACCCTACTGATGACTTTTTTACTTTCAAAACCTTACCCAACATACCTTCAATTATTTGTACAGCCTTTTCATTGCGACACGACAAACTCTTCGACTTCTCTCGCATATCGTCTAGAAATTTGGAAAATTTACTTTTCTCTTCGACAGCAACCTCGGTGACAGCATCGCTCAAATGATGTTCTGTTGCCATACTGGCTCTTTCGACATCCTCTTGAAACGCCTTCTTACTACGCTCTATCATAGCATCTAATTCGGGATCATATGGAATTGTGCCTCCATTGTTTTCATCATTCTCAAATGGATTACTGCTCTCGAAGGGATTATTGTTTTCGAAGGGATTGCCAGACGAAGTGTGTGCCGAATTCACAGATGCTGTCGTTCTTTCATCGTCCTCTTGAGCACCACCAGGTGTGTTGGTAGATTGTGAGGTGGGATTGGTTTTACTGCCACCACTTTCTTTGGCACTTATCTCGGCCTGTAATTCATCGGCTACTGATTCTTGTATCTCAATTGCCGGTTTTTCAACATCCACTTTGTTTTTCTTCCCCTGGAGCAGGGAGCTTAAGCTATTCTTAGCGTCTTGTACTTCGTGAGAGATTTTCGATGTGACTGCCCCAACCGCATTGCGCGTATCATCGGCCATTTTACGTATGGCATTGCCCATGGAGTCCTTGGCTTCGCCGGTTGCTTTAGCTGCACTGCTTCCAACGCTTTCAATAGCTTGTCGAGCATCGTCTGTGGCCTTAGACACAGTTGTGCCGACATTCTCCATAGTTTGTTTTGCACCTTTGGCAGCCTTTTTTGCATTTTCACCAACAACATCAAAGGCACCTTTGGCTCCAGTAACCGCTTTCATGGCGGTTGTTTCTATACTCTCCTTGACATTTGCAGCCTTAGCATCGGCTGCATTAGCGACATTTTCCACCGAAGCTTTTGCCTCCGTCAAGGATTCTTCCACTTTATCCTCTATGACGGTGGACGTCTCTTTAATGGCATCCTCAGCTTCGACTTTAGTTACTTTGAATTTCTCTCCAACTTTATTTCCAATGGACAATGCTTTGTCCTTAACACTCTCCTCAACATCGGCTTTTGTTACTTTTACTTTTTCAATTTGTTCTTCAACTTCCTGCTCGGCATTTGCAATGAAACCTTGTGCCTGTCTTTTGATAATCGATTTTGTATCGTCCTCATCATCGTCTTCTGTCTCATCCAGAGAATCTTCTGATTCTCTTTCTTTTTTAACATTGGCCGTAACATCAATGCCGTTGTTAATGAAGCGGATTTCATTAATTGTCACTGTGTGATCCAGGGGATCTGTGGTCTCCCGTATTTCTACAGTTAGTTGTTCATCCTCTTCGGTGGGAGGAGTGGGCATTGAGAGCGTTACTCCCGGTTTTGTTGCTGAGGAGAATAAAAATTAAATTATTGTCGTTAACAAATTCAAATTCATTTTTACTTACCACTAACTGCCTCTGGTATATTTTCCAGGCTCTCCACCAATCTTGGTGATGTGTGATCGATATAATCTTCATCCATTGCTGCTTGATAGGATGTGTTTCGTATTGGTGTCCTTTCAATGGCTGTTTGTGGGGAACTGCCACCACTGGTTTCAGGAAACGGTGTCCGTGGCCGCACACTTTTCTTTGTTGAGCTGGTACTTTTTCGTGACTTTAAAGACTCTGTGGGCGATCTCCGTTGCAAAGAATTTTGGGACATTTGATCTACATTGTTATTATCACCTTCCTCGTGATCCACATTATTGTTTGTATCTGTGGTGTTCTGATCTGTTCCTTGTTCCTCCTCCATTGGTGTTTCGTGTACTGGAGTATTAGTTTTGGGTCTCTCCAAGGCTGGTTCCATCAATTGAATATTCTTTGGTGTTATGGTTGTTTCTTCCAAAATCGTATCTGGTTTCGTTTTTGCAGTATTTTTCATTCTCCCCATTAGTCCGCCCGTGGTATTGGCCATTATTGTACTTTGTGACAGTAATCGATGTTCAGCACCAGGACCCATTGTGGCTGCCAACGCCGAAGACCTGGGCACACCATGCACCAAAACATGCCGATCTCCCAAAGCCATATCCATGAGGCGTAAATTTTTAAATTTTGATATTTCTCTAAAGGTTTTCAAGTGATGACCACTTTCGGAGAATGTTGTGTAGAACTTATGGGCCCTTGTCAGTACTGCAAAGAATGAAGTACCTTTGAGCAATTTCCAAATTGGACCATTTTCCTCACTATCGTAATCGTAGAATCTTTGAAAGATAAGACTCTTGTTACGCAGCGATTCGTAACTGCGATATATGCTCCCGGTATTGGTGACAATGAAGATTTCACTGGCATGTGAGATATGTACGAATGTGATTTGTTCGTTGGGCGAGAGATTCTTTTGCAGCTCGGTAAAATTTGTGAAAACAAATTCATTGAGATGTCCAGTTAAATATAGATTCCCCTTTTCAGTTAGCACCAGCGTTGATGATGGTCCACAGGCAAATTGTTTGACGGGTGAATCCAAAACAATTTCATGAGGTTTAAGCAAAGGCTCTTCGGCGTTGCCCAGTTGGTTTGATTGATTTGAGCCCCAGCCAATGAGTCGTCCGAAAGCTGTGGGAATAATTTAGCGAAGATTGGTTAGTAAAATATTCAAACTTAAAATTTCAAACTTAGTTGAGAAACGCCACGGGAATTTCAATTGAGGACGATCATCACTAAGATTTCCTTCAAAGACTAAAAACCCGCTGAAGGTTCTTCTATTAAGGAAAAAAGTTGGTTTAGACTGGTCAGAATCGAAGATGAATTATATTATAATAGTAAATAGGATGTGTCGAATATATATTATTTTTGCTAAAGGGACCGAGTCACCGCATCGTGTTGTAACGCTGTGATATTAAGAAGAGAGAGTGATCCTAATGGCATTAAAAGAAACCAGTACACTGTGTTTGTCAACTTATGAACAATTTATTCAATGCTTTGTGATTCCGTTTGAAACATCCCTAAATATTGTAGATCCCATAAAGTAAATATATTTCTGATCAGCATACAATTCTAAGTCGATTTAGCGATGTAGGTCTGTCTGTCCGTCTTTCTGTTGAAATCACGATACAGCCCACAGTATTAAACGTAGAGCTTCAAATTTTGGCAGAACCATTTGTATTGTGTCTAGGATGGTTGGTTTTGAAATTGAGATATATCGGCCCACATGAGACATACCTGGTATAGCCCCCATGCTATACCTCCTGATATAGTGTGATTTGATGATTTTCTTCACATTTTCCACGCATTTGTAGTTAGGAATGGGTTCTAGCTTCGGTGGAGGTATTCGGTATTTTGATGATTTTTGCCACACATTTCTACGAATTTTTTCAAAAATTGGTATTTGTAGTTCGTAATGTGTTCTAGCTCCTGTGGCGGAACATAGTATGTATAGGTCAACGTTTTCGTATAGCCCCCGCATAATTGTTGCACCGGATATTCAGTATTTTTATGATTTTTGCCACATTTTCCCATTGATTTGTCTACAAATTGGTATTTGTAATTCATAATGGGTTCTAGCCCCCTGGCAAAACATTAAATATTTTGGTCAACGTTTTCCTATAGCGCATATTCAATGGTACCCATCGATATTGTGATAATCGTAGTCACATTTACCCATTATATCGTTTCAAAGTTGGCATTTAAGAAGATTTGGTAGATGACAATCCTTGAAATATACAATTGTCTATAGAGGTTCCCTTTTGGTATGACCGCCATATAACGGCCTCACCCACATTATGTTTTTTTTTTTCAAAAGTTTAATAGCATTTTTAAAAATGGTCTTACAGGTTTTTGTAGTTCAAACACGTTTGAATTCCGATATGTTTATATAAAAATGTTTTCTTATCCAATGGGAATAAAAAACTCGGCAAGGCCGAATTTAATATTTATACCCTACAACACTATGTGTTGGGGGTATTATAAGTTTGATTGGGCCAGAATTTATGTAACACCTCGAAATATTGGTTTCCCACATAGGAAAGTATATATGGATCTTCCTAGCTCGCCGAGCTGAGTCGATCTAGCTATGTATGTCCGTCCGTCCGTCTGTCCGTCTGTCCATGTTAATTTGTAATCACTCTACAGGTCGCAATTATGGTCCGATCTTCACGAAATTTAGAATGTAGGTGGGGCTTGGACCAGAATAGAACCCTATTTCTTTTGGAGATGATCGCCAAATGTTTAGGGGTTGAAATGGACCAAATACTGAAAAAATTTCGGATTTTGCAGTAGCTATACAGGTCGCAATTATAGACCAATCGACGCGGAATTTCGCATGTGGCTAGAGTTTAGGGCAGGGAAGAAGCCTACCAATTTGGGTGGTCATCGGATAATATTTAGCGGGTAAAATAGACCATATCTTTTGTGTTGAAAAAACTCAAAATTTTTCATTAAACCGCGAATATTTTAAATCCCGGCGAAATCACAAAGCCATGACAAGGTTACTTCTGATCTTTACACTGATGTTAACATCCATCAAATCAGATATATAGCAAAATATGTGCGATATATATGTCTATCAAAGAAGATATGCTTGAAAGATCTCTTATATGTCGAGAACGGCTGAAGTGATTTCGACAGTTCTCATTAATTCAGAATGGCCTCTTGGCAGGAAAGAAAAAACGTCTAAAAAATCGCATAAAAATATCTCTCGAAAGATCAAAATATTGATTTTGTAAAATTTTCTCATATTTTTTTCAATTTTGTCATATTTTTGGCATATTTTCATTTTGAATTAAACATTTGGTAATATTTCTACAGCTAACAAAACTAAGTAGTTGAGATATCAGGATATCATATACAGATCGCATTTATGGACCGATCCTTACGAAATTTTGCATGGGGATAAAATGAGGGTCAGAATAGAAGCCTACTCTTTTTGGAGATGATCGCCATATATTTAGGGGTTGAAATGGACCAAAAAACTGCAAAATTGTCGGCAGGTCGTAATTATCGCCCGATCCTCACTCACATTTGAATGGGGGTTACCGCACATTGCAAAAGCCAAGCAGTTTCTAATGGCCATCCAAAAATATTCAATGTGTGATATAGTTTGCCAACTTTTGTAGACAAAATACGAAAATGTCCATTCCAGAGACTTTTTGGAGAATTCACAAATACAGGAAAGACGCACTTCTGACTATTTCGTTGAAGAATATAGTGAAATGTCTGTATCTCATATAGATGCGCTTCAGACAAAAACCAATAGTAAATGTTAATCTTTTGTCACGTCTGAGAGATTATAGGTCTTTGGGAAATATTGGTTCCAGATCTAGGAAGACCATTTACGTGCAACATCTACCAATAAATTGGAAATGAGCAAATTAGTTTAAGTTGCTATTATTCGAAAATTAGAGAACGAAACCTGACGAAACCTGGTTTTCTTTTATTACTTGCCACAATATCTTGTGAAATTTATTCGAGTTTCTCGCCTATATAAACTGTATCGTTTATTATAGTGTTGTAGGGTATTCAACGGTCGGCCCCGCTCGACTGTAGCCTTTGCTTACTTGTTTTTAATTGTTTTTACAAAAACCTTAGATTAATACATCTGCGAAGGGCCTATGGAACAGTTTTTATCTGCAAACGTAAGAACAACAATCATCGTTCTACAAGATTAAAGGGACTAAAAAGGTACGAACCAATATGTTTATTTTCTCTGAGAGGAGAAATTGCAATGTAACGCACATGTTAGGTCAAGGGACGTGTACCGTACCTCAACCTAACCTAAAAAAACTTTAAACAGTAGATGAAGAAAATGAATTTTTCTAACTTTCAACTTAAATAATATGAAATATTAACTATACTGCTAAATACTTATTTTCAAACAAGGACACGCAATATCTTCATAGCTTATGAAATATATGTATGTACAACAACTACTTCCTACATTTCCATCGCTGGTGCCTTAATGCCCTTTTCATATCTGACTAACAGTTTTATTTTGTCTAAACGTCCTTTCAACTATTTTTGCATGTCATAAATAATCAATATTCGCATTTTGTGTAACGAGGAACAACAGGTCGGATTGTTATTTATATGGACATTTCATGTACAAGCCTCAGGTGAAACAATGAACTATAAACCTAGTGAATGATGGCTGGCTAAATAACTACAAAATGGCCAACAAACACATAAAATTCAATTCCGCCAACTTAAAACTCAACAACAACAATAACAACAAGTGAACTTACATGTCAATACCACAAAATGTTCATTTCCGGCTAGAACATTTACAAAACTCTCGGCCTCTTCATTGTTAGACAAACAGTCATCGAACTCTTCCAAACGAAAGGGTTTACGTATAATTTCACATGGCTCTCCATTGACTGTGGTTTCCGTAAAATTTGACGAGACCGGACTTTCGCTGTTGAATATATTACGACCCGTAAAGAATAGTTCATTGGAATCTGAAATGAAATGAAAAAATATTTTGAAATAATAATTTCCATAATTGCTTACGCTAGACGCGCTACTTACATGTCAGTATCACCGACCAATCACTACCAAAGCCTATATCGGCAATTTTTAAACCCAATGTCTTTAGAGACTTAACACAGGTAGGCTTAATAATAATGTCTACATTATTATTGCTGGTGTTGTTATTCGTGTTGTTGGCATTGGATGTGTGGCCACCGATACCAAGTTGGCCATAGTGATTTTCACCCCATACAAATAAACGTCCTGATTCTAATAAATGGAAAAGAACAAATATAATTGAATAAGGGATTGTATATCAAAGGATGTGTGTTGCTGGTAAATATGGATAATCGTAAAACATATTTTATAATGTGTACTAGTTGGCACGCAAAATATTACGTGGGACATTGGATGTGTGTTGGATTATCGCTATGTGAGTAGGTCTTTTAAATTAAGAAATTTTAGTCGATTCAATTTTTCTTTCAAAAAAATAAAATGATTCAATAAGGGTTGTATATCAAAGGATGTGTGTTGCTGGTAAATATGGACAATCGTAAAACATATTTTATAATGTATAGTTGTTGACACGTAAAATATAAGGTATGCCATTGGATGTGTGTTAGATTATCACTATAGGAGTAGGTGTTTCTAATGAAAACAAGCAACTCTAATCCACTTTTCCTTCAAAAAAGGAAAATAAAATTTTCCTTTTTCCTTACCGTTCTATTATTGCATTCATATCACCATACCTTCTGATTGAAGGTGTTAAAGTTGTTTTCAAAAGGAGTAAGTTGTAAATTGTTTCTTAGAAGTTCAACGAGAAGAGCAATTTCTTAATATAAAATTAAACTTTAATTATACTTTCAAATGATAAACCCATCACATTTTAAGTATTTTTAAGGTTTTTATGCCCTTAGCCATATGGATAGAGAGGGTATAACTCTATAACTCTCGAAGGGAGTATCCGAATTGGTGCAAACTTAATACATCGTATTATTATTATAAATCTTCGATCGAGTTCGGACATGGGCAATATCGTTCCACTCTTGCTAGCACATCACCCATAAAAGGTCGAAATTTTCAAAAAAATATTTTACTGCACAAAATGAGAAAGGATTATCTGATTTTGCTCCAACTATCCAACAAATCCTAATATTTGCATCAGTGCTAGCTCAGGTGTGAAAATGGACAATATTGGTCCACACCATCCACTCCATAAGATCTCTTATAAAATGTGATGTAAGAATCCGATTGTCTTCAAATTGCACACATTACAATATTTTTATTTACCCAAGGTCTGGCGTAAAGATGGAATGTATCGGTTTACCTCCCACACACACCTTGAACCGGTACCTCCCTCACAAAGGTTCAAAATTTTGATTATCCAAAAAATTTGAAATTTACATCCGATTTCATTCACTTCATTGGCACATCTCAATATTTCTATCGACAAAAGATCTGTTATAAAGATGGCAGAGATCGGGCCCTTTCTTCTGGTACCTCCCCCACAAAGGGTCAAAGTTTTGAATACACAAAACGATCATACAATCCGAAATAAGCACCCTGTTCTCTTCATATTTCACACATGTCATTATTTCTACTAACACCGATGCTGCTGTAAAGATGGGACATATTGATCTACTCCTTCTGGTGCCTCCCCCACAAAGGGTCAACATTTTAAATGTCCATAAAGTTATAAAACGCGAAATTAACATCCGATTCCATTCAGACTTGGCACATCTAAATATTTCTTTCAACACAAGATCTGTTTTAAAGATGGTAGAGATCGGACCCTTCCTTATGGATCTTCCCCCACAAAGGGTCAAAATTTTGAATAACCGAAAAGATCATAAAATCCGAAATAAGCATCCAGTTCTCTACAATTTTCACACATAACATTATTTTTACTAAAACAAGATCTGCTGTAAAAATGGGATATAGCGGCGACCTCCTTCTGGTACTTCCCCACAAAAGGTTCAAAATTATGAAAACAAAAGGGTCAACAAAAACGCGAAATAAGCATCCAAATCTCTTCAAATTTCAAATGTTGCTAACGAAAAATCAGCTGTAAAATTGCAAAATCGATACATTGAAGGTCTCGCCAAATGGATTATTGGTCAATAATCAGTATAACAAGGTCTTTTATAAATTTGGCTTCAATAAGTATAAATGGAAGTCTTAAGCTAACTTCAATCCGTGCATGAAGAGAGTAAATGGATGGGATAGATTTTGTAAGATATAATTTAAAGACCCAATCTTCACCAAGGGATGATTGGAAAATAGCCAACTTTGTACAAGAGAATCTTTACAATTTTTGGGCATTATGATGGTAATGAAAACCTTATAGGGGTCATCTGGGCCACTTTCTAATCTGAAAAAGAAACGTACACCAATAAGTGGAGAAGTAAATGTCTTTTTGCAATGAACAGCTGATAGAGACCATCTGAATAACCTCCTAAGCTGAAAAAGTAACAACAATAAGTGGAGAGGTAAATTCCTTTTTGTGTTCTACCCCAAGAACTCCCTTCCGAGTCATTCCATGACGGGTCACATAACTGCTACCGAGAAACCTAATGTGCTATACAGCTATGGTCAAAATTAACTCATTCCGAAGAATGGGCCTCTGATCCTGTCGAATACATCCGGGCGAGCAAGGCATTCATGGGTCAATATGGGTAAACCCATGAATGCCTTGCCTCTCCCACTAGTATGTAACCATTCAGTTGAATATTTTTTCAATTTCCCGATGCCTGGAGTCAATTTGCATTCCTACATCACAGTTTAGATTTGTTCGAATTGGTCACTTTTGGCACGAATTATGGCCTTCAAACGGTCAATGAAACTGTCACACGCTGCCCGAATGTTGCTCTGCGGTATTTTGGCCCATTCCCGGCGAAGTGCCAACCTTGCTTTGCACCGTAAATTTCAATATTTTTTGAAGATGATTGAATTTCTGGTTACATGACCATCTTCTTCAATACCAAACGTAGAATATAGGGGCTACGGGAGCTTAACTACAAGACAGCGTCTGTAAAGCTACAATTCGACCAACCTCTCCGAGAAAGGACCTTGTTAGCAGCATCGTTAGATCCGTGATTGTATAAGTAAACAATCAAGTAACCTCAGGGGGAATTAAGCAGTTTGTGAAGCTCTTTCGTCTAGGTTGATTTTAAAGTCTTTTGCGTAAAGATAGCCAGTCAAGTCAGTAATCGCATGACGAAGATCATTCTTCATTTAGTCTTTCCACTATTAAGAGGCAAAATATACTTTTCCACTGTCATCACATTTGGAAGTTACAAATCTTACTTCGCAGTAGTGGTTAGATTAAATATCGAATTGCATAACATTTGGAGTTAAACGGTTAAAATTTTAAGTCCGAAATAAAACTCCGACATTTTTTTGTCTGCCATAAATACCATTGTCATAAGTATGTTATCCATTGAAATTGAACTACGAATGTTAGAAATTAGAAACAGATCGGAACTTATGAGAAGATTTACCATTTGCGGGGACTTTCCAGTACGTTTTAAAAGTTAGTCTTTTCCCAAAAGGAGGGGGATCTTACCGAAGATGGGGACAGAAAATTTTTTAGATTAATTATAAATTTGTTTAAAATATTGCAGGCAGATATGAAGGTCATTATTAAAGTAGTTTAACATCTTTCTCTTTTCCTCCTGGAGTATTTATAATTAAATTAATATAAATAATTAATTTTGCTTTAGAGTTGAACAAATATAAATTAACAAATAAACACATATGTGTATACGAAAGCTTTTCCAAATATCCTGAAATTTCTTCCAAACATTATATAATAAGGCCAGTAAAATCATTAAAGTTAGTCCTCATAAAATTAAAATCTTTCTTAACTAATGAAAGGCCTCAGTAATGATCATTTTAAGGTGTAAATTAATATTCAACATCGAGGTATATAAATTGTCTCTATAATGAAATAATTGAATTTGATTTACACCCCAACAACAATCAAAACTACATAAATTCAAAATCCCCACGTTTATATTGCCCGCTGAAATTTGATGGTTATTTATACCACTAAAGCCAACAACCCTTACTCGACTTGCCTCGATTTTGGTTTCCAAATAATTACCCATGTCCTTGACAAAATATTTGTCATTCCGTAGAAATATATTTCATTTGCTGCTACTGTTGTTGTTGTTATTGGTAAGTTTTGTGTACGCAGGAATTGATTAAAATCTAGTGACCGTCATTTACAAATAAATGATGTCCAGCCATTAGATTGTCGTTTGGTTTTCGTTCTTTTTTTATGTAAAACTAACAAAACTCTGGTGACCTGACCTCAAAAGAAACACCAAAATCAAAAAATCGTTTTCATTGTTCGAAATTTCCAACAAAACCGACCGCCTAGGTGCCTGGTGACCGACCACCACTTAATTTCTATATTCCGGCATGAATTCACGTTCACAAAGTTTGGGTAATAATGCCGTTAGAAGCAATGTTATCCTTTTATGCCGACTACTTAAATAACACTTAAACTTGTTGTTATTGTTGTTGTTTTGAGAACAAATTTTGTACGTCTTGTGACCATTAAAAGCGTCATTCGATGAGTGTTGGTGCCGGTTTGTTCTTCTTCTCTTTGTCCTTCTTTGTTTACGAGTTTCAGTTTCTTTCAACTGCAACTTGGGGTAAGGCGCAAAACGTGATTGGATTAATCAAAAGTGAAAGTTCTTGCAATTGACGTGAAGTTGAGTGCTCAAAACGGCTGAAGAAGAGGAAATAATTGCCGGTAACATGCAACGTAAACACTCGCATTTCTTCCTTTTACACGTACCGCGCTCTTTCGAATGCATCGGCTTAACGAGCGCAAGAAATGGCGTCTAAGAAAAATTTTCATAGACATTTTTTGTTTAATATTTAATATTAAAAATATAATACTAGGTCATCATTTTGACACGAGAGAATGACATTAAAATAGGAGAAAGTCTTTGAATACAAATCTTAGGGACAATTTCCTTTAAAAAAACGTGTCCCCACAAATCTGTAAAATATTAATGGGACCAAAAATTAGATGGAAAAAATTGGAAAAATTAATTTTTGAAAATGTTTGAATAAAGTTAAAATCTTTTTCCAAATTTTTTATTGATGTAGCATACATTCGTAGATTTTTAGAAAATATATTTTTAGAGCAATAATCGTAAATTTTGAAAATAATTTTCCAAGGATCAACACAGCAATAACTAAGAAAAGTAAATTTTTTCAAGAATAAACGGCGTCGCATTCATCTCAAGCTTCAGTCTTGGATTTCCGAAAAAAATCAAGGAATCAAAATTGTTTTTTAATACTTTTTTTTAAACCAAATAAATCGCAAAATGTGGATTCTTACGAATAGTTTTTTGGACGACCATCAGGGTCATAAAAAGTAGAGGACAAAAGAAGATTTTTTGTGCCTTTTTAAAAATATTTTTTTTGGAAGGACCAAATAGTTTTTTTTTTTGGGACAAAGAGATGATTCTGAAAATATTTGTTGAAGGACTATTAGGACGAAAATACTAAAACTTTTTTAAGGTACTGTTAGAATATTATTTAAACATTCTTTAATATATTTATTGAAGTATTATGAGACCATTATTTTTGGGTTTAATTAGGAGCAGGATTATTAGGACATTTTATGAACTTTAATTTTTTTAAGGACTATTAGCATATTATTCGTTGATTTAAAAAAGGCATTAGGTCCTTAAAAAATAAAGGAACTATCGTGGAAAGCCTACGTCTTTGGTAGATTTGATATAAAGGGTATTTTTTTTGTCCTTAAGGAGAAATTTTCAAAAAACAAAAAAAAAAAAAAAAAAACATAAACATTTCGCCCAGTATCTCACGAATAAATGCTTAAAAGTTTTCTTTTAATGCATCAATTGAAGCGGGCTCGTCTGTGTGAGATTTACTATAGTCCCACAAATAATAGTCTAACCGGTCCCGAAACCGAAATAATATGTTCTCGGTGAAATCCCGAGCTATGCAAATCACGCTCTTTAATTTCGGGTAAAAAAAATCAAGTCACGGTTATGTTACGATTCGCAGCATCATTGAAGAAGTATGGTCCAATGATGCCAGCAGTCCATAAACCGCATAAAACTGGGATTTTTTCTGATTCATTATTAGCTTTTGAATTTTTTTGGCTGATCTTCGTTCCAAAATCGACAATATTGCTTATTTACGTACCCATTTTGCTTATTTACATACCCATTGAGACAAAAATTAGCTTCTCTGAAATTTCTAATAAATTCAATGATCTGCAAGCCTTGTTTGATGGGTTAAATTATAGATTGAAGTGAAGATTTTTGACTGTTGAAAAAAACGAGACTTGCGTGAGCTATTTGTGTTGCCAAAAAATGATAGATAAAAAATCACCCTTTATACAATTTCGACTTAAATTATATGTCGACGACAGTTTTCTTATAACCAATATCTCGGGAGTGTATAATTACTCGGAATTACAATATTACTTATACGCCCCCATGTACTAAAAATATATTTTACCTGCCCCGCTCATAAGCGTGTGCTCTGGCACATCAGTCCGGAAAAAGAGAACATTTAAAAGAAAACAAAAATCATATTTTCCTTCATATTGAAAATTTGAATTTTGCCAATAATTATCAATAAAGCAATTAAGTAAAAATTATGTAAAAAGCGTTTGGATACTGACTTGTTGATGATTTAAAAATGTTAATAGAAATTGGACGCGTGAGCGAAATCTTGTTCTCGAGTTGCTTTGTTTTTACTCTTAAAGAGCTTTGTGATCAAATTAATAATCAGGGTAAGGTGACATTTGTTAGGAAAAATAGTGCTTTTAATAATTTAGTACCCCAAATGGAGACATCAACACCTTCAATATATCATCAAGAATTGTGACCGCAAGGACTTTTACTGCTCAGTGGCCCGGTTCCTTTTTAGAATAGTTCCATACCTAGGAGAATCGTCAATTTCTCCAAACTGAAATGTTTAAACAATATGAAATTAAAATTAAACAATTGCTTAAGTCTGTAGTGTTCCCCCATTGGCCTAACTCGTATTGCTCTCTATTACAGAGAGCAATGTTTTCAAAACGAAACAGCCAATACCAATATCATGATTTCCTACATGTGAAGGGAATGATCAATTGGCTTATTAGCTTTTTGGTATGAAGACTTTGGTTAAAAGCATGCTCTATAAGTGTCGAGCATTTACAAGTGAATGAGAATAACACTCACTTTTTGCCTCTCCAAAAAATCATCATAACAAAATATTGCAAAACCCATCAGCCCATTTTCAACTAAGAACTCACCGAGTTATATTAAACTTCCAAGGACGAACCCTTTTAAATTGGTGTTTATATCTTCTCCCCATGTCATATTTTTTGAACAGCAAATGTATAAAACCTGACCCAATAGAATAGAAATAAATATGTATTATGGTGTAGGACATCATATGGCCGACCTAGTCCGAATTTTTTCCTCTGCTTACTGGTACCAATTTAATCTCAATGAAAAATCAGTAAAACTAGAGGTGGAAACATTCAAACTATCCGAAATCGGGACGTAATATAGACCATATAACTTAAGTCGACTGCGAAGTCTGCGTTGTTCAATTTCAAATTCGTTCATTATACACTTCCACCTCGAAAAGGAGGGTATATTAACTTTGTCATTCCGTTTGTAACATCTCTAAATATTCGTCGTAGACCCCATAAAGTAAATTCGAGCCGAGTCACCATAAAAAACTAAGTCGATTTAACGATGTCCTTCTGCCTGTCTGTTTAAATCGCGATACAGCACACATTATTTGACGTAGAGCTTTTACAACTGGGTTCTAGCTCCGGTTGCGGAACATAGTACATATAGGTCAACAGTTTGGTATAGCCCCCATATAACGATACCTTCCGATATTCGGAAGATTTTCGTTACACTTTTTCACGGATTTGTCTAAAAATTGGTATTTGTAGGTCATAATAGATTCTAGCTCTAGCTTTAGCTCCGGTGGCGAAATATTGTATGTATAGGTCCACATTTTTGTATAGCCCCCATATAAAGGTACCTCCCGATATTCGGCATTTTGATTATTTTTGGCCCATTATTCAACGGAATTGTCTAAAAATTAGTATTTGTAGTTCGAACTGGGTTCTAGCTGCGGTGGCGGAACATAGGTCCACGTTTTGGTATAGTCCCTATGTAATGGTAACTCTCTATATTCGGTATTTTGAGCATTTTCGGCACATTTTTTCACGGATTTTTCTAAAATTTAGTATTTGTAGGTCACAATGGGTTCTTCACCCAAAGGTGGAGGGAATCATGGTACAATGAAGAGAAGGTAGGTCAACTTTGAAAAAATTGCAAGTATAGAGGTCTACCTGTTTGGCTTGTAATGTCAGAATTAGTATCAAAACAATAAAAAATCAAACAACTTGTTGCATTTATTTTGAATAAATGATTGAAAAACGCGATAACTGAATGAAAGGTCAAAACTTCTTTTCAAAATCATGTACTATATATCTCTAAAGGATTATTTCGCTACAAAAACTCTAGATTTTGTAGATGCTTACGTTGAAATAAACATTTTGAAAACACACGAATTTGAATATTTTCTGAACAATTTTTTGTTATTGAAAAGAAAACACATACATAAGCAAATAAAGATGACATATTAAGCCAAGAAAATAAAAAAATTGAAATCATATGGTAGTTCTGCCCTACCTTGAATTCATTGTACCATGGAGGGAATTACAAATTCGGGAATTCGGTTCGGGCGAACTTAATATTTTTTACTTGTTTTCAAAATAACTGTGGACTCCGCCGCCGCCCCCGCCATTACTATCACAGTAATCCCACACCAAGTGGGAACAACGAAGTTAAAAACAAACACCATTATTACCCTAAAATAATAAATAAATTTTATGATTATTTAAGTAACTGATTTAATTGACCCTTGGGATAGACTCTTCTAACCCACTTAACTTCCCATATTGTTGTTGTTGCTATTCAAATTTCATTCCCAGCGATAACTATTCAAATTGTCGGCATGCAAATGAATGCAACAACAACAAAAGTCCCATTCCTTGCTTCGTTCCCTAAGCTGACTAAGAAAAAATTCCCAACTTACAGCAAAACTGTTTATGGCTACCTTCTGTGTGGTGACACGCTATTGTGTTTTTTGTTGGTACTTCAAAAAAAGTTAAAGGCTAATATTTTTTACTTTAAGGCAAATGCAGGTCAAACTCCCCAAGGAATGTCTTGGACGGTCAATTTATATCAAAGACTAACAATAAACCATAAAGGCTACTACATACCGACACATATTATGTGTGTACTACATGCTAGAGTGGAAATAAAGTGTATGGAAATATGTGTGGTATAGGCATATATGTAAATGGAGGGATACATAAAATGTTACCCCTCTGGCTGGCAGGGAAAAACATAACTATCATGTCTGTAACCCAAATAAATGAAGATACTAGTGTTTATGTTTGTGTGTGTGTCTGTTTTTTTTTGGTGCTACAAATTACCACAAATCACTGCACTCTGATAGGGACCAGCTATGAGCCTTTTTATGGGATCATTTTTGATATAAAAATAACTTTGACTATTCTCGGCCAAATAGGATTTGCCCAAAGTGAAAATAGCTCCAGTGCTGGGAATATCCATTTTTTGATGGCAGCTATTGTGTTACAAAACGATTGATGATAATGGTGTTATTGTAGTTGTTTGTTTAACCGTTGCTGTTGTTTTTGTTGTTGCTGCCGTTGTTGTCGTTTAACCTTTTGACATTTTACGCAATAAGTTAAATTACTTCATCAAATATTAACTTCCAATGCATTGGTTTGAAAATTTCCATTTCACTTAATGTATTATTGTTGTTGTTGTTGTTTTTGTTTTACTTTTATTTTTAAATAATTTCCTATTCGCTAATGCACATTAAACACAACATCATATTAATTTTTAATTGCTTTAATTTATTTCTTTCATTTCAAAAAAGGCACTTTATCAGCTAATCCCAGTGAACCCGTTTGCCTTTTGTGGCGCCGAAATATTTATTTCTGTTACGCGTATCCAGGTGTCTGGTCAGTACAACGGCTACTCTCCAACTGTGGCCTGGTGGTCATTCTCTTCGATTTACCCCCATTTGGTTAGTTTATGTCCTGTTCGCTCGCTCGTTTGTCCTTTCGTTTAGTTTAGCCGCTGTCGTCTAGTCTATGCCTAAAAGTATGCTAAGTGTTAGTAGTTACTTGACCGTTAAGGGGTTTAGTACTAAAAGTTGTATTGCTGTCCACACACAAACGCCCGTTATATTGTGGCTCTCTTTCTCTTAATTTGTCCGGCTCGTCTCTCTCTCTTTCTTTGTAAGTACTAAATTCAAATAAATTTAATTTTTCGGTCTCTAAGTTTGAGTTGAATAAATAATTGTCCTCCTTTTTTGTCGCTTTGGTTGTTTGTGGAAATATTATGATTTCATTCGGAATTCGATAGGAATTATGTGTGACATCTATAATTACACATGGAATTATTTGGGAAATCTAGAGCAACTACATATGTAAATCAAATGACTAATACAACCTGTCAATAGTGTATTTATTTGGACAGTTGATGTTTGGGAGGAGAATGAAAACAAACACTCTGTGTTGACATCATTTCCAAATCTCACTCCTGAGAAATAAAACACAACCGCTCGTTTGGGTTGCTGGTTTAAATCTGATTTTATTTTCAAAAATATTATTCTTAACTGCTACAAAAACTGATCTAACTTAACCTATTCGCAGCCACACAATTGTCCTTATCTATTTTTAGATTTACAATGAACCATTGCGTAGCTGTTTGTCCCTTCATTCAAGTGGTCTTGGCTACCTACTGGCACATCGATAATTGTGTGTGTGTATGGGTCATGGACTTTATTATTTTACACATTACCATATGCGACAGCGCACAAGATCACTGAATTGTACACATGTGGTATTTTATGACCGCTGGGAAACTTATAATGTTTAAATATTTATTTTTAATTGTTAGATTTTCCCAGCGCCTCAACCGCACACAAAAGGATGTACAAAGTATTTTGTACATTCTCCCGGCCGGGTTTAATATGTATACATTTAGTTTTATTTTTTAAATCTGATTTTACCAAAGGGACAGTTAAAGGGACAGTTGATTTTTGTAAACAGTTAATACTTATAATAATGTAAGCCTTCTGCTAGGTAAACGGCTCCACTTTTTGATCCAGCTTCTTGGCAGCTAAGCATTTTGAGGAAGTCCTTTGAAAAATGTTGTTGTTGATCGGTGATTAAATTTCTTGAAGATTTTGTTGTTGTTGAGTTTTGTGGTTGGTGAGTTGATTTACTGCTATTACCACACTCGATGTTGATAAAGTTGTATGTAGTTAGTGTTGTATAGGTGTTGATTGTATCCGCCGCTTTTGAGGGAAACGAATTTTTGGCGAGAAAAGAAACACACCGCTTCGTTCGGGTGTAGATTCAATTCTTATAGCGAGAAAAGATATAACACCGCTTCATTCGGGTGTATAATCAATTCTTGCATCGAGAAGGATAGACCACCGCTTTGTTCGGGTGTAGAATCCATTCTCGATCCGGCTCGAAGGACCAAATGTACAAGTGAGAAGGGAAACCAACCACTCTGTGTTGAGATCAGTTCCAAATCTCACTCCTGAGAAATAAAACACAACCGCTCGTTTGGGTTGCTGGTTTAAATCTGATTTTATTTTCAAAAATATTATTCTTAACTGCTACAAAAACTGATCTAACTTAACCTATTAGCAGCCACACAATTGTCCTTATCTATTTTTAGATTTACAATGAACCATTGCGTAGCTGTTTGTCCCTTCATTCAAGTGGTCTTGGCTACCTACTGGCGCATCGATAATTGTGTGTGTGTGTGGGTCATGGACTTTATTATTTTACACATTACCATATGCGACAGCGCACAAGATCACTGAATTGTACACATGTGGTATTTTATGACCGCTGGGAAACTGATAATGTTTAAATATTTATTTTTAATTGTTAGATTTTCCCAGCGCCTCAACCGCACACAAAAGGATGTACAAAGTATTTTGTACAGTTGAAAATTCAATAATTTAAATATTTAATATGACTGCAGACAGTTACATATTTCGAATTGCTGATGTACAGTGCTTTACTTTGAGACAGACGTAGTAAATTTATTTCAATCTCAAAACTCTAATAGCGATACTTAAGTAATATAGTAAAGCCCTAATAATTTTTTTGGGCCCTCCACCATTCTATGGATGGTATATTAGCTTTGTCATTCCGTTTGTAACTCCTCGAACTATTCATGGAAGACCCTACATAGTAAATATTCTGCATAAGCGAAAAATTCTAAAACGATTTAGCGATGTCCGTCTGTCTGTGTGTTGTAATCACGCTATCTTTCGAACGAATTAAAATAGAAGGCTAACATTTTGCTCTATTGCTATTTTGCCAGTAGCCAGGTTAGGTTTTTAAATTGGCCATGTTGGTCCACATTTTCGTATAGCCCCCATATAAAGGTACCTCCCGATATTCGGTACTTTGATAATTTAAGCGATTATTCACCCGGTACCTCTCTATATTCGGTATTTTGATGATTTTAGCGACTTCATTTACCCAAATTGTCTCAAATTTCGTATTCGAACTTTGTAATAGGTACTACAGTCAGGTCCACGTCTTCGTATAGCCCCCATAAAATAGTACCTCCCTATATTCGGTATTTTGATGATTTTAGCGACTTAATTGTAATAGATACTACAGTCTATGCCTAAAAATGTTGTATTCAGGTCCACGTCTTCGTATAGCCCCCATAAAATGGTACCTCCCTATATTCGGTATTCTGATGATTTTAACGACATTATTCACCCGAATTATTTCAAATTACGTTTTCAAGTCTGTAATGGGTACTACAGCCTACGCCTAAAAATTTCGTATTCGGGTCCACGTCTTCGTATAGCTCCCGTATAACGATACCTCCCGATATTCGGTATTTTGATGGTTTTAGCGACATTATTAGCCGGAATTATTTCAAATTTCGTATTCGAAATTTGTTATGGGTACTTCAGCCTATGCCTGAAATTTTCGTATGCAGGACCACGTCCTCGTATAGCCCACCCCCTATATAACGTTACCTCCCGATATTCGGAATTTTGATGATTTTAGTGACATAATTCTCCCGAATTGTTTCAAATTTAGTATTTTAAGTTCTTAATGGCACGCCTTCGTATAGCCTCCGTATAAAGGGTATAACGGTATTTTTCGTAATATTTTGAAGTTTTTCAAATTCTTTCCAAACGGTGGAGAGTATAAAAAATTCGCCTCGGCCGAACATATCTGTTTTTTTTTACTTGTTTTCCATCTAAATTTATATGGTACTGGTTATTCAGCTTGTAGCTTTTTTTAGAACAGGGACGGTATTCGTAGATATTCAAAATTTTTCAAATTGTATCAGAAGGAGTGGACCGATATATTCCATCTTCACAGCAGATCTTGTGTTTATTAGAAATAATGGGATGTGTGAAATATGAGGAGAACCGTATGCTTATTTCGGACTGATAATCATTTTGGTTATTCAAAACTTTGTGGGGAGGAACCAAAAGGAATGGTCCGATCTCTACCATCTTTATTACAAATGTTAATGGAAATAGTGACATGTGCCAAGTCCGAAAAAATCGGATGTAAATTTCGTGTTTTATGAGCTTTATGGATATTCAAAATACTGGCCCTTTGTGGGGGAGGTACCAAAACGAGTGGTCCGATATATTCCATCTTCACACCAGACATTGGTTTAATAAAAATATTGTGATGTGTGTGTTATAATTATTCGAAAATTTTACCTTTTGTGGGGGAGGTATTTGATGGAGTGGACCGATATTGTCCTTTTTCACTCCTGGCCTAGAACGGATGCAAATATCAAGATTTGCAAAGTTGGAGAAAAATCGGATCATCCTTTCCCTTTCTGTGCAGTAAAATATTTTTTTTTTTTTGAAAATTTAGACCTTTTGTAGTGTAGTTAGAATGAGTGGACCGATATGGCCATCTCCGAACTCGATCTAAGTTTGATAATAATATTACGATGTACCAAGTTTGTACCAAATCGGATACTCCCTTCAAGAGTTATCGTGCGAACCAGACAGACAGACGGATGAACATCGCTAGATCGACTTCAAATGTCTTAAAACGGATTTGGTCCAAAGAGACCGTTATTTCGATGAGGCACGTTTTGGTCGTATCAAATGGTAGCCATATGGCTGAGGGTATAATAATCTGGGAGGCAAGAGCTACCTGTAGAATTAAAAAAAGAATAATTCCAAATAAGCTTACCCATCTGTGCATTTTCTGTAATCTACCTTGTCAAATTTCACAGAATAAAAAAGAGGTTCGCATATCTGATTTTTGTGAATACAATGGATTTATGAATTGAATAAATTTGAAAAAACCATGACCATTTTTATTTGTCTTCGAATCAATATTTTGAAAGTTCAGATCAAAATTGTCAGAAATTTTAAAAATTGTCAATGACTTTTCTACAATTTATCCCTTAAACCGTTTTCACAGACGGAGTCTCCAAGGCATATCTGATAATGAAGGGAGTCCCTCTAAGGCCCTATATTTTTGCCAAAGACACTGCTGCGTCTCATTTTCAAGTTTTTCTAGGCCTATGATTTGTTAACAAATTAATTGAATTAACTCTGTCCCCACAAATTAAAAAAAATATATATGTATTTACAAATTGTCCATAGGCCTTTAGTCTTTTTCACATTTTTCTCCTACAAAACAAGACATTTCCTAAATACCAGAAAGAACCTTAAACTTTAAAAATATGCAATGAAGAATTCCAGTAGATTTTCTTTGGTATTGGTTTAACATTTGCATATCTTTTTACACACTTTTTTGCACATGTACTTACATTCATACCAACACATTACATATGTGATCAACCTGATAAAGAAATGCCAGAAACAACAACAGAAAGGTGAAATAAAATATAAACAAACGCACACACAGATGTAATAATGTCAACTTGATATACGAAGAGCTTAGAAAAGGAACTCGTACACTTTTTAGGTTGGTTAGTAGTGTAAAATAAATAGAAACAAATCTAAAATATATATATATATATATATATATATATATA